TGCGGAGCGGCGGCCGCGAGAGGTGGTCTCCCTCACCGTTCCGACTGCGCGGCGCTACGCGGCGCTCGCCGCCTGGGCTGCTCGGGGAGGGGGTTGCGCGAGCTGGCGCGCGCGAGCCGGCAGCCACCCCGGGACAGCATGCGCCCGCCGACCTGCTGGGCGCCGACGCGCGCCCGCCACGCGGACCCCGCTGTGCTGCTGCACGCCGTGCTGCCCGCCGTGCCACTCATGCAACTACCGCTGCTCGAGCTCGCCGGCTGAGTGCCGATGTGCTCGACGAGGTTCTTCGCTTCCATGACGGCGCTGCGGTGAGCATCGTCGCCGACATCATCATCACCATCATCATCATCATCTACCCCCCGCAGAGGTGAGCTCGCTTTCTTCACCGATGATCAAACAAACAAATAAGGCAGGAATCAACCAATATCCTCGAGGTGTTAACGACCTAAAAGATTCGCACCACTGGATAATAACTGGGATACCCCAGATGTGCTAAATTTTGGTGCCTATGGAGGCACTTTCGTGACTTTCTAACAATGGCACTTAAATTTCACAAACTTCGAAAGGCACCAAGTCGTACCTTTATTTTTTCAGTGTACTAGAAGTGTGTCGTATGCCTTGGTCCATCCGCGCCGTACAAAATTGTGAATTAATTAGTGTCAGATAATCACGATAGGCCTGCAGTTGTAACTAAATAACGGGAGGGCTCCGCGGCACACCATGTATGCGGTCTCCTTCGTCTCAAGCTTTTTGCCTCACGCTACCGTGAAAACCTTGTTGCGAACGGTTATTGTGGCTGCTGTGCAATTTCGGGGCGTCCGTGTTCGATCACCATCCACCTACCCCCTCTGAACTGTCACATTGGATTCAATCCACCTCTGGTACCTACGCGTCGCTCGCACACTGATCATATTACGAACAAATCATTCACAAGGTTCGACAGAGTTTGATCAGTGTGCGACCGACCCGTGGGTTGAATCCATTGTGACAGTTCAGGGGGAGAGAGGGAGGGGGTAGTGGGGAGGTGGGTGGTGAGCGAGCACGGACGCCCTGTGCGCCTCTCTGGCAGGGTAGCTCCAGCACCACCACGCCGGCGCCAAGGCCGTGATTCCAGCGAGCCTTTCGCCAATTTGTAATTTTAATGCGAGCCATTCAGCACAGATAGTCCCCGCCTGCCAGCCAGAGCAACCTCCATTGCCTCCCCCCCCCCCTCCTCTCCCCGTCAAGCGAAAGATGTAGCACAGCGGGCTGAGAGGAGATAGAGGGAAGCGCGGGGGAATTGAAAGAGATTGAAAATACGAAACAAACAAACATGGACGATGTAGTTGAGCTAGAGTGGTTTGGCGTGCACACGGGAGAGAGAGTGCGACAGGGACAGAGCCAAGAGATGGAGAGGGAGAGAGAGAGAGAGAGAGAGAGAGAGAGAGAGAGAGAGAGATGTTGTAAAAGCAAAAATGATGTGAATGTCGTGACCGAAAATAACTTTAAACTTGTTAGAATGCTTTGAAATGCGAGACGGGAGCAATGTCTCGCGGACTAGTTTTGCCTATACAACTCCCGAATAATTTGACATTAGAATCGACTGATTAGTTAAAACTTGCTTATGTGCGTGGAATATCAGGATATCAGGATCGTACAAGGGGATAACACAGGTTTCAAATATAAATA